CATCGCTTTGTGCGCCCCTCCCCGGGCTCAAGGTGAGACCGACCGGCGCTGCCTGCCCTGCTAACTACCCCAATACTGCTGCCTGCCCTGCTAACTACCCTGCTGCTGCCTGCCCCACTGTCTCCCCCGGCAGTTCTGCCTCAAGGTGCCCCATATCCCCCTGTCTATCCCCCCTGATCTCCCTGTATCCTTCCTCTGCACCCCAATACCCCTTCCCTGTCTGCCCTCTAATGCCCCAGTACCCCTTTCCCTGTCTGCCCTCCTGTACCCCCTTTCCCTGTCTGCGCTCTAATACCCCAGTACCCACCTTCCCCGTCTGCCCTCCAGTACCCACCTTCCCTGTCTGCCCTTTAATACCCCAGTACCCCCTTTTCCTGTCTGCCCTCCAGTACCCCCCTTTTCCTGTCTGCCCTCCAGTGCCCACCTTCCCTGTCTGCCCTCTAATACCCCAGTACCCCTTCCCTGTCTGCATTCTAGTACCCTCACCTCCTGTCTGCCCTCTAATACCCCAGCATTGCTGCCGGCAGAGGTGGAATATTGGTCATTAGAGGGGGCAAAAATATTTTGTGATTGGTGATTGGATGGGGCAGTAGGATCATCTCCCCTCGTTGGATGGGGCAGTAGGATCATCTCCCCTCGTTGGATGGGGCAGTAGGATCATCTCCCCTCGTTGGATGGGGGCAGCAGGATTATGTATTTGCCCCCTGGATGTAGATGATCTCGGTATAGGTTTCCCGGTGACCTATGGACGTCGGGAAGCCTTGTGGGACGTAGTTGGCGGTGTTTGGCACTTCCTGACCCGCAGCAGCCGTTCGCGGCACCGCAGTGGAATCTTGGCATCCCGGTTGTAAGCAGGCAGGCGGCACAGTGCTTCATCTTGTCACATCTCATTAGTGTGAGTCAAGTGTCACAAGCGGTGTGAAGGTGCAGGAGGGAGATGACGCTTGCAGCGCGGAGGCTCCGGATGATGTCATCTGTAGATCGGTGCTGGTGACGGGCAGCTTGTCCCGGGTGGTTTTGGGTGGAGTTCTGGAAGGACAGATGGATGTTGTAGTTTGATGAGTCGGTTCATTAGAGGGACGGGGGGGGGGGGGGGGGGCGGCGCACACCCGCAGATCCTGCAAGCGATCAGGCGTCTCTAGAGACGCCTGACCGCTTGTATGTAAACAGCCATCGCTGGCTGTTTACATGCTGACAGTTTTCCCTCTCGTGTGCGGCGCTCAGGG